TGATAGTTTTCATGTTTGTTTTAGTTCGTTTACTGTTAGTAATATTTGTACTGGTAGTCTGAGCTCTGTGAATAGAAGTACTTTTCTTTTATACGCTAGGAATGAGTTTGGCAGTCGATGTATTAGTGCTGCATAGAAAGTGACTGTATTTACACTGGCCGATTTTAAAGTAACTTGTTCCGTAGAAAGACTGTGCAGTGTGCAGTCGTCTTACCAGTACTAGAGCCAGTAGCCACTCTGTTACAGAACATTCTATTGAAGAACAAGTTATAAAAAAAATGGTATGCTGTTCGTTTCCCTGGTTATATTTGAAAACACTATAACAGTGATTGTTCATTTGTTGTGCATAATTCTCAACATATATTTTACTCGAAGAGTAATCCGTGATTCGAAGATTGTTTCGGGTAGTCTGGGGCAAAGGACAAATCTTGTTTTATTATTTTTCCTTTTATATTTTTTTGCTGTTCGAAGTTTAATTTATTTATTTTTGTTTTTGAAAAATATTTTGCATAACAACATTCACTGCATCTCTGCAATTTCTGCAGTATTGTGTCTGCGGTTTTTGATTGTATCTCGATGGTTGTTTTCTCTTTGTTCATAGTGCTAAGTACATATCCTTGTGTGCTCATCATCATATAGGCAACACTAGGGAGCCTGCGCAGCTGAGCGCTTGGTTTAAGTGGTATGACTAGGACCATAGTTGCATAATATGCATTGTTTTAGGGTACAGACAGCTCACGCTATTTCGAATCAGTTACGAATCCCGAACCGTTATTTATTATTAACATATATGACGTATAGGCAGAAATTTTTCCTATGTTCGCAATGAAACATCAAACGTAGGCAAAATAAGTTATCGATGGTGTACATATAGATGGATGGATGTATTTAAAGAGTTCCAAGGAGACAACCAAAAATAAATAACGATTTATACCGTATGCATGGGAGATCTGACCTTCGAGAGCTGAGAATGTAGTCAAGTTGAACGAGAATGTATAAACAATAGTCACTATGATCATCTATGACGTTATTGATTGTACTGTTTACTGAGGTTACAAGTTTTTTAATTTTCATATTGAATTTGATTGTGATACTCAGCGACTATTGAGAACAATTTTTAGAATTGGATCAACAATCTAGAATAAGTTTTAAATTTCGTGATAGCTGTGAAGCATATAGTAGTACAGTATGCTTGAGCAATGGGGACACGATCCAGGGATTGAAGCAGATCATTAGTCTATGAAAAATTTCGTTCGTTTATTTGCTGATATCTGCAGCAAAATATGTGTTCGTTGTAGTCAGTACTATCTGTCAGCAAGCCAAGATTCTGGGTCTGAATTATGAAATCGTCAACGAATACATGCACAATGACTTTACATAAAGCTGAGCTGGGATAAATTTGTATTTGCAGTCCTTGAAGATTTCACTTGTGCTAGTTGTGAGGTGCCGACCGCTGAATCAGACTGTCAATAAGAATGTACAAAAATTAAAGCAAAAAAAGTAAAAATCCATACCCTTCTTCTGAATCGATCAAAGATTCCTTTTAGTGTTCGCTGTTGTATCTTGTCAGTGGCCGATGAATTTCATTCTCTACTACTCTCTCTCTAGGTTGTGAGTTGTCAGTTTATCGAGTTATCTTGGCCTCTGGGTTGAAGACGGCCCATTTAGCTATGACGACTTGTTTTTTAAGAAACATGAATACCGTCAAGGACTCGGGAACTAGTTGATTGCTACTTACATGTAACATATCCCGACGGTCGTCACTCTTCACTAAGTATTTAAAAAATAGAATATCGCGAGTTCGCGAAGGGTCGGAACCGGGAAAGCTGGAACTAAAAATATGTATTTAGTTTTTTGTTTTTGGATTTGTTTTTTGTTTTCAAATAAAAAGGTATGTACATACATACATATATACATACAGTACATACTATATTTATAAATAAGACCATACTATTTTGTTTAAGAAAAATTGAATACAGAAAAAGAAGAAGTAGAAAGTAAAAACAACTAAAATTAAAATGATACATATATAGCCAACCGGTGTTCCGTTTACACTTTACAGGAGGCACCATATGGTCACTATCATGATTCTGGATTCATGTGGCAAAACAGGTGAAAACAAGCCAAAACCGCAATGAGCCAGAGTAAACATAGATGAATCTAATATTTTGTCAGCCTATCCGTAGCGATTCTATTGAGCTCTATATTCCGATTCTTTTTTAGTTCATTGACTCACACGTTGAGTCATATACTGTATTAATTATTATTTATGCCAGTAGTAGTAGAGAGAGTTGCCGGGCAATTGTAGTGCATAAAATATAAATATTCACGCAACAAAGGAAATATTGACTCAAAAAAGTGGGCTGAAGATTCATTGGAAGATTAGCAATTTAGCTTTGTTTTATTTTACAAAATATATAAAGATTTCAAAAGAATATTTAGATGTACATACGTATTTATGAGAAATTAGAAATATGTACAAATATGAATATGTACATCAGTAAATACTTATGTATGGTATCACGGCCATCTTGACTTGTCCGTTCGTGATGGTTTACATCATTTTGTTTTTTCTAAAATAAATATATCAATTTGAGGCTGAGTCACGACTCACGAGAGTGAGCATTGAGCACTGCTGAGCAGACGGAGCAGTGAGCTGTAAACAATTTTTTTTAGTCCATATATGTATGTATTTAACCATTTATGTTGAGTAACTGTAAAATTATATATTTACAGCATCCTATCTGAGTGTCTGAGAGTGTCTGAGAGTGTCTGAGACAGACTACTCTCGCACCACACTTAATTTATATTTATCTATTTGTACTGCGTGTTTGCCCGATCTGGAAAGTCTCGTGAGCGCCCTTTGGCACAGCACATAGCACTCTCGTAGCATATAAAAGTGAACCACTTCCATCCACAGACCTCAGACTATCAGTACAAATATTACAGTCAACGAATTAAAACAAACATGAAAACTATAA